TTGGGATGTCTTCTGCAGGAGACGCATTATTTTCAAGCTCTCTGGCAAGTGCAGCCTTGGTTGTTTTTCGTAGGGACCCATCAGCATTTGCCAGTGCCCATGGCAGTGGGCCCAGTGGGTGGGAAAGGACATCCTTCATATTCACCTTCCTGCTTTCAGCCACCAGGATCATGTGGCTGAACAGGGTTCTATCCACCTTCAGAACCACATCCTGTGCTTTCTTTCCATGTGCTGTTTTTGTGTTGATATTGGAGAAAATCCTCAGACTTTGCTTGGTCATCTTGTCGTGGAATTTCACAGATGGTGGGTCCTCAGCTAACCTTGTTTGCTTGAATACCTGGTAGCCCTCTTCTCCTATCTCAAGAGCTTTCAAGAGATCCCTGGTCACATCAGGTGGAGCCATGGTGCCAGTGGAAAGGCTTATCAGATCTGTCTCATCAGGGGACATAGGATTGATCCAATTATTCGCCATAAGGTCAATGAGAGACTGGACATCTGCTTCATCTCTCTTGATCCTTGGACCCTGTAGATCTGGATGGGACAGTTTGGACCTGCCTTGACCTATCAGGTCTCTCAGCTGTCTGAGGTACGTGCTTCTCTATTCAGCTGTTAGGTAATATTTGGTCACGGCTACTGGCTTCAAGCTGAATCCCTTTGTCCCTCCAACTGTCTGGGTGGGTTTTTTCACCATTTCTTCTATAGCTTAGTCAACAGGGATTCAGCCAAAGGGATTGGTGGAGCCCAGTTGAACTGAGGAGCCTCCTTCCATGAATTCCGTGTACACATCTGGGTGTGTGATGGGCAGCTGAGACATATTGGCGTATTAGTATATTCAGCAGTCATACTCAGTTTTCATGTGCACCATGAAGTACAATCAGAAATCATCATTCTGAATTCATTTGTCAGTACTTTGGTTACACATTGACGGTAGCAGAGAGTTACAACCCAAAAGCAAAACTATCATTGATAAAGGGTCAAATCCATCTTAACTAAATGAAGGGGAGGTACTACCGGTGAATATGCAAAAACATGTCCTGTCCTTTTATCATAATTATAAATTACCAGATGAATGAAAATTTACCAGATGAATATACACAAAAATCGAAAAAAAATTGTATTGTGACTTTTCCCCCATTCATTTATGAATATTATGTGTTATCGCATTAAATATGTACATAATTGCATATTATGTAAAACACAATATTGACTTAGTAGATGAATTCAGAACTTTTTGGTTTGTTTTAATGTGATCAAAAACTAATTGGTTGGTAATCTACAGAGGCTTTTGTAAAAATATTGTTCTTTCAGTTAATTATGTTAAAATACACTTGACATGTAAAAAAACAAGATTTTCGCCTATTTTTTATAGATATAATACCACATAAATGAAAATGACAAAATATATTTCAAAAATCCATCTGAACATTTATAGCTATTCCAAGGAGGAAGCAGTGTGTAGAATGATGTGGCTTTACCTATGATGAAACATGAGTTGTCAAACTTGCCATGCAAAATGTCATTTTGAGAAAATCGCAATGCCAGTTCTGGCATTGTGATGCTCATAGCAATGAGATTTGAGAATTCTACACTTGTGTTCTCCCTCTTATTGCCATGACAGCAACGTAAATAGCCATACATGACTAAGCTAGACATCTGCTCCAGAGAATAAGCTTTTAAATGATATGGAATTCAACGCGATGATTTTTCAAAATGCGGAGACAAATTGCGATGAAAGATGCTAAAAAACGCTAATTAAAGACTTCGTTTACTTGGCGAAGTTTGTATAAAATCGTAAAAACTAACTATTTATTAAATAGAAATAGTTTGTTTTTATGATTTTAATGATAAATTATTGCCAATAACAACGTTTTATTATTACCATGCTCACAATTATTTACAAAGTTATTGGTAATAATTGTGTGCATGTTATGAAAAATATAAAATATCTAAAAATTGTCAGACTGAATATTTTTTATTTATTTTTGCCTAATAATCTTAACAGGTACATTAACAATGCATTGAGGGTAAAGTTAGCACTTTAGATATCTTTACTGAACATAAATAATACAGAACCACAAGTACTTGCCTCACCTGCCAGTAAATGATCATGAGCAAACAAGCTGCTAGAAACAGAAAAAAACAGATAGCACCAATTTATTCTAGACTTAACTAAGTCACTGAAACTGAAGAACAAGCGTGATTAAATGCAAGAATATGTATGAAATATATGCCTTGGGGACAAACATCCATTTTGTAAATTATTTATTGTCTTAATTAACAGCAGAGGTGTTGGAATGTTTTATTTGTAACGTCCGGGAAAATAGGCGTGATTGCGATAGGTACAAAAAGAGGCTTCCTGTGAAAAAAATGAAACAGCTGCTCATTCGGAAAGGTTATCACGTTTTATTTTACTTCTGTTGGTGTCACAAATAAAATGGCACCATTGAAGTTTTGCCACATTGGGTGGTCCCGATATCTGGTCTGGCCCAAGGACTAAAGCTTCGACCCTGCTAATCGGGTGCATTCTGAATGATTCTGTCAAGGGACTGTTCGTGTAGCTCATGGGTAATAGGGTCTGTCTGTAGGGATTTGGCGGAAGTTGCTGTGACGCCTACAGAAAATGCGATTTTACGCGGGAACATATGAAAAGCTACTATGAACAATCATCCTGCGGCCAATGTTGCATGGATAACTGCATTTTAAGTGCCACGTAGCGAGCTCTGAAAAGACGGTGGTTAGCACAGCGAGTGCTCGCTTTAAGTTGAATGGACTTTGTGTGGACAAACACAGGCCCATCTGCTCTTCCAAGCATCGCTCACATGTGTCAAGAGACGGGTATGAAGCAAAAAAAGGGGGGGGGGAGCATAAAGGAAGAAAATAAATAATTTATTTGACGAAAACCTTGAATAACATTTCCCTTTTATTCAACTTCACATCATGGCCAGCGCACAAGACTCATCACTGTGGCCCAAGGGGCTCTTATTTCTTGAGTGAGAACACGAAGCCAGCCGGCGCTGGCTTCGTGTTCCAGCACAGGCACGATACTGCCTTTTAGTTTTGCGCAGCCATGTCCTGATTAAACCAGTTTCTCTAGACGGCCTCGGTCACAGTAACAAATATAACTTTCATCTAAAATTGTGGGAGATGGCTACTGCTTGGGGAGACCTACATCCAGCAGTGGATTTATCATGGCTAATGTTGAATGAAGAGGCTTTTGAAATTATGTTCATTAAAATGTGTCTATATATACGCCTCTATATAAGGAACGAAACAGTTAGACTTCTCCACAAATCTGGCTGTCGCCTGATGAAGCTAGTTGTAATTACTGGCGAAACGTCGTACTCAGTTTGTAAATGTTGTGGCTTGGCTCCCCAACACACCGGTGTGCTGTACTAGTGACGAATTGGCCACGTTCTGCTTACGTGACAAACCCTTACTAGTTGGCTGTGTCAGGTGGTGGCGGGTTTTAAAGACACATTTATATATTGACGCTATGTAACCCCCAAAAAAAACCTGAATTATGGACCTTTGTCTTTGTTATATATATGGATGCCCGGAGTGGGAATAAAAATGTAAACTCCATGAAACCCAGCTTGGTGGCCGAGCGCACTCGCTCTTGAGCTGCCCGACCACCGCTGGCTGCACAGAGCACCCAGAGTGCAGGTGGCGGGCGTCGAGCTCTGTACAGTTGATATTCCCTGCCTCTGGGATGAACTCGGTAAACAGGATGCGTGTCTATGGTCGATACACTTAACTCATTATGATCACGGTGGGAAGTGTTTCCTGACTTGGCTTACATTATATTGCTGTTCCCCCACCCCTCCCCCCCCCCAAAAAAAAGTAAAATTGACCACACCAGACAGCAAGTCCAACGCGAATTCAATTAGACCAGAACAAACGTGGACCGGCTTTGGCTATGAATGAAATCCTTTGTGAGATGAGAGCGTGCACTCCAGACGGTGTTGTTTTTTTATATGCTATGTATTGACTCATCCTGTATTTTCCCAATCTGCAGATCAGATGTCAATATTATTAGGGTCGCAACTACACATTGTGGTGACTCCATTGTAAAAACACCACGAACAATGGCAGCAGACATCGTTACCCATTCATAAAAGTTACACTTTCTGGAGGAAACTTCCTCTCAAAATGTTTTGCCTTAATGTGTATCTCCTTTCAGTTTGTGAACTGACAAGTTAACACTTTTGTTGTTGTACAGGAAAGCTTGACTGAGTTATCAATGATCCTTAAGGAAGGTTTTTTTTTTCCTGGAATGTTTGTCCAATTCCATTGTAAATGTTTTGTGTTTGAAAGGAATAACGGAGTACCTTGAGAAAATCTATACTTGCTATTAGAAAAACGTCCTCTATGGGTAATTCAATGGCCATTGTGGTTATCGCGAACACTGCTTTCTAACAGAAGCATATTATCAGAGGTTGATGTGTTGGGCAGTGGCCAAGAAGAAAAATAATTTTGACTTGACTTTTTATCTTAATATCGTAACCTTGATGCCTATTTTTAAAAAATGATTTTGAAAGCAGTGCATTAAACTGAATTTGATGAAAATTCGACAACTCTCTGTCTCTCACCATTTTTGCCGACCCCTTCCCTTTCTACACATTTTTGTTTTATCATACAGCCATCATACAATGTGGAATGGGGCTAAAGACAGAGAGTATATCGTCTGCTTCATTGTTTGCAGTCACATGGGCGTTGACCCACGACGAGTGAGGAGCATCTCACGATTAAACGGGTCAATATGTAAATAATTCTTTGCACGTTCTTTCCCGAGCACATCCGCAACCCAAATATTCTCCCAATGGATAATCAAGAGCAGAGTTAACCAGATAATCAAGAGTAGCGTTAACAGTACTTATCACTGCTTTGTCTTTGGAGTTACGTGTGCGTCACTGCGACCCGTCTACTCGCTTGCTACAACTGCCTGTGTTGGCCCCCTTCCCTCTCACCCCTGCCGCTGGTCCGTGGCTTCCCTCCCGCAGTCTCTCGAACAGCCCCAGGCCTCAGGGCGGCGTCCATCGGTGCTGTTCCGTAAGTCGAGCATCCCGGACCTGTCGGGGAAGGCGCACAAGTTCCAGCGGCAGCTCAGCGAGGAGGACTCACGGGCTCGGCGCGGCAGCCTCGGGACAGCGCTGGCAGGTTCGCATCATTCGCACGTTCCACTTGCCTGTCACACCATGGTGGCGAGATGTTAACTAGCTTGCCTGGTATACAGGAGGTCGTGGTTTTTGATCCTGACCCTAAAACCTGTATGTTTGGAGTTTGCATGTTCTTCCCGTGGACGCGTGGAATTTTTCTCCGGGTCCTTTGGTTTTTCCCTGCACATTTAGAAACATGCGTTGACAGTATTTGGCTCATATCAATTTATACATGATAAGTCACTTTTGAGAGCTATTCTTTATGGCCAGGTCACTTCTGACAACTATAGCTCAGTGGGACTTATGTGGTAAATTCTAGTTTTGTTTTTACTCAAAAATTACAGTTGATAAACTACTCTAAGAAAATGACACTGCCACACACTCAAAGCAGGACCTACTTCAGATGTATCCTTTATACTCTGAGATGTGCCTGGGTAAGGAATAACGTTCTAATGAATATAATAGAAACATTTAATATTTGATCGCGCTTTCTAAATTCACTGCTGCAAGGCCTCTGTTTTGTTGGTCATGGGGGTTGTTTTGACCATTCAGTCTGGAAAAAACAACCTCTTATCTCCTCGTGGTGCCGGACGGCAACGCTGTGGTGGGCAGTGTCATGGGGGGAGGGGCCAATTTAGATTAGCCCTTCCCCCTCATGGCGTTTGTAACCACCACAGCGGCCAAATGGGGGTTCTGGATGGGTGTGAGGGGCTGGTAACCTCTCCACCTTCAATTAACTACCACCAAACTACGATTTTTAAAAATTATTAAGCTTGTGCCAGACGCCCCGGGGGGGACAGCCGTCTATGACGTCTCCTGGCCAAACCCCATTTGGCGGAGCCAGGAGACTGCATCCTTACCCTTGGGGCTTCTCTAGAAACAACAAAAAACCACTACGGATGGCCACGTGGAATGTTCGAACGCTCACTGAGGAGATGCTGCCACTCCTCTGTTGGGAGCTGGACCGGTACCGCCTGGATCTCTGGTATTCAGGAGGTCCAGTGGACCGGCTCTGGCTCCTGCCACCATGAGGGGTGGACAGTCCTCTACTCGGGGCAGGAGACTGCCAAACAACAGGGAGTGGCTCTTCTGAACAAAAGAATGAAGGGGGTATGGGAGCGTGGCGGTGAGGTGTGGGAAGCTGTAAGCCCCAGGCTACTTTGGGCTCGCCTTCCCATCAACCAGAGGCAAGCAGTGGTGGTTCTGGTTACTTATGCCCCCACCGAAGACGAACATCCATGGAGGGATGCAGGCAAGGCCGATGAGTCAGATGCCTTCTATGACCTGTCACAGGTGCTGGTTAAATTGGCCCCTTGGGATAGAGTCATCTTGTTGGGTGACTTCAATGCCCGAGTTGGTCATGAGGCTAACACCTGGTCTGGAGTGATTGGAAGGCATGGGCCACATCCGCATCATTAACAACGGCAGGAGGCTGCTAGATTTTTGTGCAGCCCATGGGCTTGTAATTACCAACTTGCTATTCCGGCATCGGCGCATCCACACGACATCATGGATGCATGCCGGGTCCAAGCAAGAACATCTGGTTGACTACATAGTGATGGAACAGCGGATGTGGGCCCATGTCCTTGACACCAGGACCTACTGTGGAGCTGATTTGTCCACTGACCATCGACTTGTCATCTGTAAGATGCGCCTGCCATTCTTCCACTCTGGTGGTGGGTGTACACCCAGGACCCCATTCAAACTCATAGTGGCATGATCTCAGCTAGCTGATGAAAGTTGCAAGCGAGAATTTCATCATCGCTTGCGGCTGGGATTGGCAACGTCGGAGCCATTCCCTGTTCACCTTGGGGTGCGCACAGGGATATCCTGTGGCTCCCACATTATTTAACATCTATTTCAACACGTAGTTCATGAATCCTTCAAAAGCTGTACTGGAGAAATTTCCATCTGGTACAGATACAATGGGAGGCTGATTGGTGACCAGGTGCGGTCAAGGGATGGCTTCCTATTGCTCAACCATGTTATGTATGTCGATGATCTAGTAATTGCTGCTCACTTAGAGGAGTTGGAGGCCCTGCTTCTGAACCTGGAGCTTGCCACGAAGAGATGTGGCCTTACCATCAGCCCCACCAAAACTAAGCACCTGCTTGGGTATTTTTTACCATCGGACACTCCACCCACACAACTCCCAATTGGTGATAGGGCAGTTGTGGAGAGAGTGGAGAGTTTCCCATACCTAGGCAGTGTGCTCATGACCTGCTCCAGTTTTACAGCAGAGGTCTCACCCTGAATCAGTTGAGCGGCATTATCTTTTCATCAGTTGCGTAACGCTGTGTCGAAGCTACCTGGTCTGTCGCTCCGCACGAAGCTTTGGGTCTTCTCGGCCACGGTCATTCCCTCTCTTCTCTACGCTTGCGAAACGTGGACCCCCCTAATGGAACATCTTTGCTGGTTAGAAACATTTAGGCTGGCCTGCCTACGATCCATCCTGGGTTTAACCAGGCTGGATTGTGTGAGGAGCTCACAAATCCTTGAAAGATCTGGAAACAGTCCCATCGGTGAGCTCCTCCGGCAGGCAAGTCTAGAGAAGAGATGGAGTGATGTGGTACAGGAGGATGTGGAGCTGAGTGGACTTGCCGATGACTGGTACCAGCGGTTTCAAGATCGGCCTCTGTGGAGGAGGCTCGTGAAGGATGCTACTGGGCAGTTGGAGGCAGTCGCCCTCCAACAACAACGGAGGGCGGAGGAGCAATGCTCACAACAACGAGCGGAGCGCCGGGTGGCTAAAGCACAGCAAGTTCGCACAGGAGGGGGCACAGCTGGTGCATCAGCCAGTCATCTCAGTCAGTCGACCCGTGGCACCTGGGTCTGCCATGTGACCTCCTGCCAGCGGACGTTGGACACTTCAACAACATGCACATAGCCTGGCACAAGTGTCATGGGGACGTCACCACCACTTTGTGGCGAATGGCGGTTGATGTTTAACCATACTTCACCACACTGGTCTTTCAGATCATATATCACTTGTCATTGATCTTACCCGTGGCTGGGAATAGAACTTGGTTCGCTGGGATCATAGTGCAGTTCGCTAACCACTGCACTACTGCTCCCCGCCCCCTTATATGTACAGTGCATATTAGCAGTGAATCCCTGTGCACTGAGTACTGGATGTGGCTGGTAAGCAGTGTGGAAGAGCGCCTAATTCATGATCGAAAGGGTTCAAAAGTTAAAATTCCCATCTGGTGTCAATGCAGCTCATCCCCGTCAGGTTGATGAAGTGAGTACTGCTTTGTGGGAAGTCAAACAAAGGCCATCTTATGAACTAGAGTGACACCCATTGTGGAACCTTTCCATTTAAATGTTCATATGTAAATTTGTAGTTTCATTTCATTTTAAAATATATATTATTGATTCAGTGGCAATGGGCGTACATACCAATTCAATACTCGCTTGATTGCGGAGGAACTCTGAATCTTGACCAGTGCCCGATCTTCAGCTCAAATAAGCACAACAGTGAACCCTTTCCGCTTGGGTAGACCCAGAAGCATTGCTATACAGCAGAAGCCTGCTCTTCAGAATCTAAATCTCAGCATCAGAATCTTTATTTAGACTGGAGAAATCCAATCGGCTAGGGTAGACTGAGAAGCATTGCCATACAGCGGAAACGTGCACTTCAGAATCAGAATCTCAGATTCAGAATCTTGATTCAGACTGGAGGAATCTGATAAGCTATGAAGCTCTTTTTTCACAAATGAGTCAGTATTTCTATCGCTGCATTGCAGAGTTGTTAACCCTCCACTCGGTGGGTGGTTCCTCCTCCTCTGCTGTACATACTGACTCAAACACCTTCCTTCTTATCCGTAATTTCAACAGCATTGGTTCAACACACGCTAACTTTAGACTGGTTTCGACATTCATTTTCTCATCAGCAGTCAGGCTGGCTTGAATCAATGCTGGTGAACTGGAAGATTTGTATTGATTTAGGTTTTATTTATTTCAGCAGGAAGGGCCGAATGAGATGTTAGGATCTTTCATGGACATCCTGCGACGGTACAGATGTTATACTGTACAGATCTTGGTGACAATCATGGTTTCATAGGTTGGGTCATAGGTCATCAAATCAAAACGGCTGGGTCCCTCTCAGATATGGGTTCTATTTTGATGGAAAACTATATAATGCACACCACATAATACTCATTAGCCTTGTAGGGTAGAATACAAGTAACACAATAAATAAGCAAAAACGAGTATATATCGGCAAGGGGCACTTATGGGAAATGTCTTGTGCTTTCTGAAGACATCTGTCCTTTCTGAGTAAACATTTTTCCCATTTAGTTCTGTTGTGTGTTGCAGCAATGAGTTTTGGCCATCAATGAATGCTGGAATTCCACCAAACATTCCACAACATTTAGCTGGATTGGCAAGGTTTGTCGAGAGTTTTGCAATGTCTACTCTTTCAGCTGGAGCGTTTTAGTTTTCAGACTCGCGCTACATTGATATGTCCCAGAGAGGAACCATTCAAAATTTCACATCTAAATTCCATCCTGAGATAAAAAAAAATCTGTCTGTGTTTCATGGTGATGTTGGCACTATGCATGTAAACATCGGACATGTGTGCTCAGTAGTACAAATGACAATTGCCAAAACGTATGACCTACCTGGTGTACTAGGCACGCTGCCAAATATAAATTTTGGAAAGGGCTGTTGATGTTCTGGACAATTGTTCTACTTTAAAATAATTAGTGTTCCAATGTCAAGTCGTAATAACCCTGGCAAGTGGGTGTGTTGTATTATTTTATGTGAATGACCTTGAGTGAGGGATGGAAATTCCAAATTCCTATGTCAGGAGCAAATACTTCTTCAGTTACTTCCCACTAGGTATGCAACAATGCTTCCATTGAGAGGTGTAAAGCCCATTGAGCCATACAGCTCATTTCCAAGGGAAACCCGTTAATTTATATTAATACTTAAGCTTACGATACATGTGAAGGGGATTCCGAGATCAATGGTTTCTTGTAAGGGCTTCTACCCGTGGCC